CATACATACATACATACATACATACATTACATACATACATACATACATACATACATACAAAACATACATACATACATACATACATACATACATACATACATACATACATACATACATAAACATACATACATTACATACATACATACATACATACATACATACATACATACATACATACATACATACATACATACATACATACATTACATACATTACATACATACATACATACATACATACATACATACATACATACATACATACATACATACATACATACATACATACATTACATACATACATTACATTACATACATACATACATACATACATACATTACATACATTACATTACATTACATACATACATTACATTACATTACATTACATTACATTACATTACATTACATTACATTACATACATACATACATACATACATACATACATACATACATACATACATACATACATACATACATTACATACATACATACATACATACATACATACATACATACATACATACATACATACATACATACATACATACATACATACATACATTACATTACATTACATTACATACATTACATTACATTACATACATACATACATACATACATACATACATACATACATACATACATACATACATACATACATACATACATACATACATACATACATACATACATACATACATACATACATACATACATACATACATACATACATACATACATACATACATACATACATACATACATACATACATTACATTACATTGCATTGCATTGCATTACATTACATTACATTACATTACACTACACTACATTACATTACATTACATACATACATTACATACATTACATACATACATATATATATATATACACGCATCCGCATATGTTTTCTGCGCCCGATAGGCTAGCCCATGCATCGTACCTCACCGAAAGCTACTAGTAAGTACTTGTCAGGAGGGCTCTGCCACTCTAGTATGATCGTCACATGTACCAGGGGCGCGCTGCTTGACAAGTGTGGCCGTCCTTATTCTGCAGTCTTAAACGTAGACACCTTACAAAGATTAGTACATCCTTGGATCCGCGCATCTGCACTACCCCCAGGCATGCGCAAACAAACAAAATGACAAGCAAACAAACAAACAATCAAGCAAACAAACAAGCAAGAAAACAAACACGCAAAAGAGCACACTTGTGGAGCCAGCACAGCTGATCAAACCCCAGGCCGAGTGGCAGCTTATCTTCTTCCTTGAAACCCGCCTCTTCCCACTCTTTCCGAAGCTTTGTCGTCTGGCGCGTACCCCAAGTTGAGCAAACGACCGGCGCGTCTTTCAGGTCACAGGAAACATGGTGAGAAGGGACCGAACAAGGGTCCGGACCAGAGATCTGCTTGTTGATTGCTTCATACTTTGTTCGCTGTTGCTTGGTTGTGTCCCTACTTGTTTGCTTGATTGCTTGCTTGCTTTCCTGCTTGGTTTTTGTGACCCTGCTGTTTTCCACCTTGGTCTGCTCGTTGGAAGGGCATCGCCTTGCGAGTCCTCTGCCGTTGTCCGTGTGAAATTCCACGGCAATGACACACCGACTGCTTCGTTCAGCGGAGTTGGACGGTTCTGCAAATCTCATGATCTGGTGGAGCCTCCGCTACAGGGGCACCCTCCAGGGCATGGCCCTCGACGAAAGGAACGGGCCTCCACGTAGTCCTTGGTAGCCATTGCCACGATGTTGTCAGCGGTTTCCTCAGAGCGAACATGGGGGAAATTCAACGGGGAACCCCGCGAGCAAAACGAAAAACGAGGTAACAGTTCCGCTCAGGGCACCTGACGAGGCAAACATGGACTACCGCAAATCTGGTTCATAGAACTCCTCACAAGTTTCTTATCTGCCAAGGCCGATCAATTGCCACGCTCTCGTGTTTCCTTTTTTTGCGACACGTTGCACGACTTGAAACCTTCTGCTTGAAGATGGGCTGCGGAAATTTAGACGTAAGCAACCTTTCAGCAGAGTTTTTTCCATCGCCCCTTTCAACATCACCCCACAGTCCAATAACTCATGCTTTGGATGGCTTTCTGGGTAAACATAGATGCCCTTGAACCCACGCTCAATCCTTCATGACCTCTGAGCTCCCTTAGAGATGGTATGCTTGCGTCGGCGCTGCTCGGAGGGGATCAAACCGATCAGATTTGGAGGATTCCGGGCTTCGGGAGTCCATGCGCCTGTTGCTGGTATTCAAACCACCGACATCATGTCGGGTTGGTTTTTAGGGTACCTCTTTCGGGGTCGGTTTAAAGGCAAACCATAGGCAAGCCGCCCATTTTAGTGACACACACACACAGACAAAAAACAAATAAACAAATGTGTACGTGCTTCCCAAGCGGAAGGCTTTCTGAAACATCAAATTGCGTCCAGCTTCCCGTGATTTGAACTGGCTTCATGGGCAAAAGGATCCCCGGCCAAAGGGGGTGCCAGTCTTGGGAAAGCTCGTGACTTGGGCCATGCGGATCCCGGAATAAAATTTGCAGAACCATGGTCAAGAGTCCAGACGCCATGCCTACAGAATTTGCCAAAGGTTGTTCCTTTTACAACACTAACTTGGTGCAGAAAACAAGCACACATATACACACACCGATTGTTGTTTGCAACCTTCCATTCCAAATTAGCTCGGATCTTGCAACTTGCAAGCAAGAGGCGTGCGGGCGGCCCTTGCTGTGTTCAGAGCCCATCCTGCACATCGCTTTTAATCTCCCATTCAACGAAGGTCTCAGTGTGAAAATGGTGTGATTGAAGAAACCTCCTCTGATTTTCATCCTGTGGATTTGAGAACCACACAAGCAAAGAAGCCTACGAGTTCCCGCGTGAGAGAGACGACACACGAGAAGCCAAACAAAATGAAAGTCCCAGGCTACACGCAACGAAGCAAATCGCAGGCATTCAACCAAACATGCAGCATATCCTGCTTTGCCAGGTTTCAGCAAGCTTGTGAACTTTTGTCCGACAGGGTTCTCAGGATTCGGGCTGGCGCCAATCTATATATTGCATTGCCTTGCTGCAATGATCTGAAGCTAACCCATGCAGTGGGTGGTCATAAGATAAATAATGCACAGCAAATGATTCAGAACTCTTCTGAGGGGACAGCACCCTTAGCCAAGTCACCCGATGCACCATTCGTGTGCCAGCCGTTTTTGCCTCTTCTATAAAGGTAAGGATTCCCCATGCACGAAGAACAGTATCACCAATAATCCCTTCTTCCGATTTGGTAACGGAACCCTCCAGCCAACCCCAAACATTGCCAAATGCTAAAACCAAAACTAAACTCTCTGGAAACCAGATGAACTCAGCCAAATATGCTTATTAGGGGCCGCCATAGCAATGATCAATTGGGCTGCCTTGTGTGAGCGGTTTTAATGGTTGGGGTCTCCATTAGGTTCCCTTCACAAGGTCGTTTTCTCAAACCAAAGGGTTGCCCTGCGCGAGCGGTTTTTATTTTCAGGCCTTGTTGATCAAAAACAAGGGCGCCTTCTCTTTAACAGTTCTTGCTCGAAGTTGCATTCTGAACGCGTGCTTTACAAATCAAAGGATCCCTCTTTCCAATTTGAACCCAATACTCAACAACACAGCCTGAAAACACATTGCCAAACACCAGGGACCTTAGCATGACGGGGGGGGAGGACGGTATATTATTGCAAAATGTACCAAGGGTTGGTATGCTGGCATTACCCCGCGTAGGGTACATTCTATGAGGTGTGTAGGGTCACACGGTGTTTTCAGTGGCTTGAATATTGGCCACTCTCAAACTCCACAGAATTCCTGGGCACTGGCGATCACGCTGAGTCCGTGCTATGGATCATTGGGGCGTGTCACTTGGAGAAGTTCACCTTGACATCCAAAAAATATCGGGAGACGTCCATTGGAGGACTCAACGGCCAAGGCGTCAGCCCGGCCTCTTCGCAAGATGCCAAAGGCACGTAGACAACTTTGGGAGCAAGAAGGCTGCGGGAAGCAGAGCTTGGGCAATGCCCAACTTGGCGGCACCACAGGTACCTTGCATAGAAGCGTCCGAGTGCCAAATGGAAACGTGCTGGAATCAGCAACGTGCTGCTTCTGCCTACTTGCTCACCAAATTGGCATAGGGAATCTGAATATTGGCGCTCTTGGTGGTTACGTTGACAAATCCCCCCATGTCCTGCCACAACAATGGTGGATCAAGAAATTGCAGCTGGCTTCATAGTGTGTTCCGCAAACCAAAGCATTATATGCATGAATATACATATATATATATAAAATATTGTCAGTTGCCTGCGCAGTTCCCGAAAAGGCTAACGTGGGCATGTCGTCGTCTGCTGGTCGATCCTCTTCAGGGTGGTACCTCGTGGGTTTAGGAAAATCAACAAACACGTCCATTCTGCGCGCGCCCTCTATGGGAAACGAACTGTTCATACAATGTGTTTGTTGTCCCAAAGTTCTCGCTTTGGATCGTTTGATTTTGATTGGGAGGTCCCATGCATCAGTCTCCTGGATGTGTGCGTGTGCGTCTGTGTGTGTGTGTGAGCCATATTGGTGCCATCGGATGGCTCCTTGCCCCAATCATATCCAATCATGATCTTAGCAGGATCCCAAGTGCGCTGGCCGAAGAGAGGAGCTGACATGAAAGCGTTGCTCCTTTTTTGCAAGATGTAGAATAACTTGCCAGCATGAATCGGAACCCTTGATTCTTGAGGTTGCTTTTTCTTGGGTTGTTAAACATTCCCAACGGATCATAACAAGCACCAGCTCAATCCCATCCCTTTGACTCTCAGTCGCCTGAGGCTACCTGGGACACAAACAAAACGTTTTCTTGGGTAGTGGGAACACGTTATATATATATATGTATACATATATATATATATATATGCGGGTGTCCAAAAAAGTCAAGGTTCAAGATCCAACCAAACAGTAGCCGAAAGATCACAGCTTTGTTCTACTCGGAACTCTGGGGATCCCAACGCCCACCTGTCCCGATCTGCACTGAACTTGGCAGTCCTGGCAACCGTCGCTTGAATTCGCGACCTACAAGTTCCCAAACACAACGCAGCTGATGCGGGGAACACACTAGAGACCCCACTCCGCATCACGGCGAGGAGGGGGACCAGCACAGCTGCTACATTGTGGCCAAGAGATGCGTTGACTCTTGCACGTCGGATGTATGTAGACACATGATCTATGTTTGTCCCATGTTAAAAGCGGTTTGACCCAACGCGGAACCCTGTTTGGAAACATGAAGCTGGCATACGGGGAACTCCCCAAAAATGTGTTGTGGAAAAGGCCAAGGAATGCTGAAATTCAGGGCTTCCCAAAAAGACTTTTGGGATAGAGAACCTAGAAAATATGTGATATGCAATTCAAAACAAGCCAGGAATAGCCCAAGGATAGAGGAACAAAGTTGGGCAAGTCTGAACCGGTCACGAGATGGAGACCTTGCTCTTGCTTGCATGAGGGTTTGTCACCTGCGGGCTGTAGGTGAGCCGCCGCAGAGATTGACGCTGCCTCCAAAACAAGACGTTAAGGGCACTGGCCTCATTATACTGCCACCCCCAAGTGGCAGGTTAAACACGACATTTCCAATTGTCGACTTTGACTTTGATAGCCCACAAGCAGTCAACATAATGACCCTAGCGGCAGGAGTTTTCAGATTGATGGTGTGAAACCAATGCAACAAGGCGGGTAAGCTCTGGCGCCAGAAAGCACCGCGCTGCAAAGTCGTCTGCGTTGGCTGGGCGCGAAGCAAGCTTGCACTGGCCTACTGGTTCCAATCCCATTCTCTTCAAGAGATTGAACTTTTACCATGTTTCCAACGGCCACTGATTGAATAGGACAAATGAAGTTGTTGTTTTGTTTGTTACGCTTGGTTTTGGACAGCTCAGCTTGCCGACGACTCAACTTCCACTAGTGAGGCGCATGATCCTGAGACTGAACAATCCTCCAGACATACAGTGTCTCACTTCCAGGTCGACATGGCCAACCTCAATTTCTGTCATTGGTGCTCATTAACTACCACCACTATCAATCATTCTAAACGGATTCCTACACTTTTGGGAGCACCCGCCGTAAGACCCAACATAGATTCAGAGACCTGTGCAAGAAACCCAGGGTTGCTGATTCGTCCTTCCAAAAAGTGCTCTCAATCGGCATTTGATCATCAGTATCATTGGGAAAATATTTGTCGTCGTAGTAATATCCGTGCTCGTGTTTTCGCTTGAACAGGGCCTCAAACTTACTCTGCTCGCACGAAACAAGCGTGCCCGAATTGCCGCCCACTTGCGGCTCTCCGATTTACCGCTCACGAGCAACTCCACTGATGTTGATGGCCATCAAGCATCTCAAACACCTCTCCCGGGCATTGGCCTCCTTGTCTGTGAGCCTGTGAACATCTTTCAGAACTATTTACAAATTCCCAGGAACTACAGTTTAGAAAACATCAAGGAACTACGTAAAATCTGGTTCAAAGGCATCCTAAAATCGCCCAAATTTCAGATGTCAGCGATCGCAACTTTTCCAGCTCCGCACCTCACAGCGAGCAGCTAGTGGCTAGTGGCCAAATCCAAGGACAAGCTGAGGTGTGACTTGTTTATGTCACCGTGTTCTTGAAGAGCACCCGGTCTAAACCTCAGAATGCTGCATCGAAGATCCGTGCAATGTCTTTCAACCCAATAACTGAAACTGTTTTGAGCGCCAGGTATTTTGCTCTGGTCAGCCCGAATGACACCAGGCCTTGTAGGAAGATGACCGCGACACTTTGTTTAGATCACGTTTCTTCTGAATTTTAATCACCGTCCAGAGTTTCAGCTGCCGCTTCCCGTTATTGCCACTTGGCCTCCATTTTTCTTTCTTCATTTAGGGACCCTCACACGTCTTGACCGTCGTGCGCTAGACATGAAGAACCAAGGATCAATGCATGAATGCCGCCCTTATTTGCTGTCAACAACAGTTCCGCTAACCAAGTTGGACACAAGTTGGGCACAGGCCCAACATGTTCGCCAATATTCCTGCGACATAAAACGGCATCACACATGAGCTGCGGTGAACGTTCCTTGTCCCCCCCCGCTGGGAAACATGTTTGCGTATATGGTTCTCGTTCCCATCGACTCTTGCCGCAGCTGCGCTTATTTCAAACATAACAATCCAAACACTCAGCCAGCACGGACAATCAACCACTGGTATCTTGTCAACACTCTGTGTGCGTGTAAAAATGAGTTCATGGTGTCTCGCTCATTATGCGCCGTCGTATGAGTCCAGAATTCACGTCGCAACTTGCTTGAAAGATGACACCTATAGATTTGTGTGGCAATTGTGTGTGTATGTGCACACAACAAAATTAGATGGGTAGATGGATGCATAGATAAACCGACAAACAAATTAGACAAGCTAGATAGATTAGATAGCTAGCTAGATAGATAGACTAGATAGCTAGCTAGATAGATACATAGATACATAGATACATAGATACATAGATACATAGATACATAGATACATAGATACCACTCCATTGAGCTGTCGCTCAGGTTCGACATCATGGCCTCGCCATCTTTCCTGCCCAAGAGCTGCTTCTGCATCTGCGTGCCTTCCACTATCTTCGACATCACGTCCGTGCGGTGGAGGCATGTTCGGATCCATGCTGGCCATATGTGGAGCCCCTCTTCTCAGTTCCGTCGGGCTCATAAGCGATGCCCTAGTTCAATCGGGCGTTCTTTTCCTTTTCTCGTGAAGAACGGCGGCAAGTACGGGAGAGGCTCTTCTCGCATCGTTGCATCCCAAAGAGACCTTCACGGTAGGGCCCGAACCTGTTGCACCCCCAAGCTCGCTACAACTAGCGAAGTTGTCATCTCCTCAAATAACAGGAAAAGCTTAAGAGTTGAAGGAAAAGGGAGCCACAAGAAAACCAATGCCCGTCGGGCCCCACGGCCTCTGCACGGAAAGGGCCATTGCTGGCACCTGGCAACGCTTTCACGCCGATCAACTCAGCTCGTAGGGAATTAAGGGGGAGGTCTTTTTCTGAGTACCCTTGGGAAACCACATGTTGACACACACACACACACACATGCGAAATGGGTTTTGGTAGTGGGGAATCACGTCTTTGCACCTTGCAGGTTTGGTCGGTGGTCTGTCTCAATGGCATCCCCCCCGAAAGGAAACAAGAGGGGGGTTCCTGCAGTTTCCTTGAAACCCTCGAGGCTCAAACTCAAAGAACAAGATGTCCATACACAGATCCTTGTAGGCAAGTGAGGGACTCTGTAGGATGAGCTTTGCAGGCTCTTGGTTCAAATCCCCAAGCCAAGCGAAGCCGAGTAAGGTTTATCAATTGAATCCTTGGACACGGCAAGAAACATGAAGCACAAACACCACCCGACGGCGAACAATTGCAAGGCACCACGGGCTCAACTCACATGCACCATACTTTGCAGAGTCTTGCTTACACAGCCTTCAAGGTTGGGCGCGTTGACTGTGACAGATTTACAAGGATGGGGAACGTATTGACGATTGATCATGCACCAAGGGGGGGGTGCTTCCTGCTTTGCAGGGAATGTCAAGTAAACCCAGCAAACTACTTTTTAGGAAAACTGGCGTCTGAAGCGTGGCCAAAAGACCGCTTTTCTAGCTTTTCCTGAAAACCGCTAGATTAAAAAAATAATAACAAAATCCTTCCAATCTCGAAGGTGTGTGTTAAAAAAGGATTGTGGTGTTCCTTCTGGTTTCCCTTAAACGCACACTGCAAGGATACCCACAAAAACATATATATATATATATAGATATATATATATATATATATATATATATATCCGCCGACCCCTTGCCCTAAGGGTGAGGCGCATGGGAAGGGTGAGTTCGGCCGAGCTCTTGTAGACCTACCAAGTCTGAGAATGCAAGCATGTTCTATCTCTCTTCTAGGAAGCAGTTAAAAGTGACGTTTGGGCACTTGTCGGGCTCCCAAAAGGCCTCGAAGCTCGCTGCCTTGCTGGTGATGCTGGGGATGTATTCGGGGTACTTTTCAGCTTGAAACCTACCCATATCTAGGAGTCAAAAAAAGAGTGTTTTTTTTTTGGGTGCCCAAAGCGACAACATCCCCTGCATCACTTGCATCATCCGCATACATGGCGTACATGGATGCGGGTGATGCAGTGGATGTTGTCCATGGACAATGATGGAGTGAATGGAAACAAGATAGACAATTGATGGAAACAAGATGGAACATGTATGGAAAATTGATGGCAAATTCATGGAACATGGATGGACAATTGACGGAACATTGATGGAACATGGATGCATAATGTATGCACTGGGATGGAATGGGTGGAATGGATGGAAGATGGATTGAACGTTGACATGGGTGGACAATGGATGGGAAATAGGATCGAAAATGGATGGAAACTTCCCATGGAAGGAAAATGCGTGGAACATGGATGAAAATGCATGGAACGAATGGCAATGAATGGAAATGAATGGAAATGAATGGAAATGAATGGAAATGAAGGGAACTGAAGGGAAATGGAGGGAACTGAAGGGAAATGGAGGGAAATGAAGGGAGGTGAGGAGAAATCACGACAACTAAAGGGAACTGAAGGGAATTGAGTGAAGGAACATGAAGGGAACCAGTAAGAATTGAAGGGAACAATCAAGGGAAGAAACTAAGGGAAGGGTAGGGTGCCCGGTGGCCGGCTGTGTTGCGTCAGCGTGTATATATATATATATGTATATGACCAGTTCGCATCTCATCAACCCATGGCGCGCCGCACTGAAGGTCGAACTCCTCGGGAACCTGGCAGGAGGATTTTCCCTGATCCTCCGGAACCCTCCAACAAATGGAGGAAGAGTACCTCTTTCCAACGATCCCTTCAGATGAGGTTCGTCTTTAGAACCCCAGTCCACTTCCACGATTGGAAAAGTAGACATGAGACAGGGGGAAGGTGCTTCTCCCAATGAAGAATTTTTGTAATGGGACATGCCCAATCCTCGGGCATGTTCGATGGAAGGAATCGGCTAATCATCAAATATGCCGACGACAAAAACATCCAACCGACAATCGGACCCGCTGTTATTTGGTGGCACAAAGCATCAATCGGAATGGTCTCGCAGAACCACTGAGGTCCGCTTGATGCAATATACGCTGCCCTGGATAAGGTTTCGGTTGGAACAACTCTCAATACGCCAGTAGAAGGGGGGTTCGAACCAACCTGTAATGCTGAGTGTAAAGGGTTCGACATGTTTAACATACGCATGAACTGATGTAGATCTTGCACTACTCGGCAACATCAAATGCGATTCCAGAAAGGGCAATCCAAACATGTGGCTGCTCGCCAGCAAAGGAGACCCTCCTTTGTCGGTGATGCAAAGGAAACAACAAGGAGCCAACTGTGTGAGGGCTCCCTTGTCTTAGGGCATGCCAAAAAACTGCATCCTCTGAGCCTCTGAACAGGGGTTCTTAAATTCCACTACGTTGCAGCCCCCCAAAGTGGCTTGGGCTTCCTTCTAGCCTGATTCAAATGGCCAAGTTGTGTCCAAAGCTTGCTAGGGTAAACAGACGATGAGCATCCAATCAAAGTAATCCCAAGCAACAGAATGTCAACTGATCACACAAAGCGCCCCACCGGCAATGAAAGGCTTTGCTGAAAGCCACCCTGAGAGCTTAGGGAAGTGGACGTCGCTCCCCACCATATACCGAAAACATCAGCTATGCTCCGTCTTTCAGGGACAATGTATGAAATGGCGCGTAGAGGTCCCTGAACATTCATAACCTTCAACTAGAGTTTCCGCTGTTCTGTCAGAGCTGCTGCGTTTCTGACACTGGGAGGCTCCCAAAACGAGCCCCCAAACCCTCCGCCCCCCAGGCTCCCCAACCAACCCCTCCCAGTGGGTTTCCGCGGACAAGCCTCAGGCAGGAAGCAGCTCGGCGCACTGCAGCCCTCCAGGCTGAAGACCCCACCCTGGCAAGGCCCCAACCCTCAGTTGCCACAACCGGCGGTGATTGTGGGTTAGGAGGTTGGGAGGGTTCTTTTTACCTTCAGGAACCAGCGGTTCGAATCCCCAAACCTTCAAACCACCATTTGGGGGCGCCGAAGGGTTCCCCAATTGGAATTCACCCCCGAGCAACCCTTCTTGTCCTAATCATAATTTAGTGCGAGTCCTAATGTCATCCCGCTGACTTCAGATGACTGTGAGCATTGGGCCATTGCTGATGCAAGTAATCTATTTGGCTGCACAGAAGTCAGTTGTTGAAAGTCTAAAATGCCCGCTTGGCAAGCAGTTTGTGACTTGTATTTGCCTGCTGTATTGATCTTTTTCTTGCTTTTTGGTGAGCCAGAGTGGTGCACAAACCCAAACGCAGCTCACCAGGAACCAAACAATGAAACCGCAACAAGACACGGGGTACCTGATTACTCGGCCCACATCTGGGGTACTCCAGAAATAACGTGTTAAGATTGCGTGTCTTAATTATTCTACCCTAAAATCTAGACCCAAGTTCAAGCTGAAAACAGAAGGAGGAAGGGGGGCTGATCTGTGTCACCTTGAAGCTAGAGGAGGTGATGATTAAGACGAGGGAGCCCAAGGCCACCCAATGTAAAGACTGGACTCAAAGAGCCCAAACAGAGCGTGATGCTTTCTATGACCATGATCCTCCGAGAAGCGTCAATGTTGAAAGAACCCTAATACCGGCGATGCCGGGATCTGGATCTTGCCATCCGCCAGTGTGGGCGAAACGCGCGTTTCTGCTTAGAACATGTGGGACGGGTCCAGCCCTGCGCTGTGATTGTTCAAGGGCTCCAGCTACCGCAGGTAGGCAACCTTGTGCATTCTCAAGCAAGGAATCATCCAATTCAATCACATCGGTGTTAGCCGGGAACAGGAGGGTAAGTCTAACTTGTCTCCTCCAGAACCCTTGCACACTAAGTCACTACCAACTGAGTTTGAAGTCATGCTGGTAAAAGTATTCCCTGTCCACAGCCAAACTGCCAAGTACTATCTTGACCGAATACCAATACATAACAAATAGCATGCGTGTGTATGTGTGTGCGTGTGCGCGTGCGCGCTTGCGCGCGTGTGCGCGCGCGCGGGTGTGTGTGTGTGTGTGTGTGTGTGTGTGTGTGTGTGCGTGCGTGCGTGCGTGCGTGCGTGCGTGCGTGCGTGCGTGCGTGCGTGCGTGCGTGCGTGCGTGCGTGCGTGCGTGCGTGCGTGCGGGTGTGGGTGTGGGTGTGGGTGTGGGTGTGGGTGTGGGTGTGGGTGTGGGTGTGGGTGTGGGTGTGTGTGTGTGTGTGTGTCTGTGTGTCTGTGTGTCTGTGTGTCTGTGTGTCTGTGTGTCTGTGTGTCTGTGTGTCTGTGTGTCTGTGTGTCTGTGTGTCTGTGTGTCTGTGTGTCTGTGTGTCTGTGTGTCTGTATGTCTGTGTGTTGGTGTGTTGGTGTGTTGGTGTGTTTGTGTGTTTGTGTGTTTGTGTGTTTGTGTGTTTGTGTGTTTGTGTGTTTGTGTGTTTGTGTGTGCGTGTGTGCGTGTGTGCGTGTGTGCGTGTGTGCGTGTGTGCGTGTGTGCGTGTGTGCGTGTGTGCGTGTGTGCGTGTGTGCGTGTGTGCGTGTGTGCGGGTGTGCGTGTGTGCGTGTGTGCGTGCGTGCGTGCGTGCGTGCGTGCGTGCGTGCGTGCGTGCGTGCGTGCGTGCGTGCGTGCGTGCGTGCGTGCGTGCGTGCGTGCGTGCGTGCGTGCGTGCGTGCGTGCGTGCGTGCGTGCGTGCGTGCGTGCGTGCGTGCGAGCGTGGGTGGGTGGGTGTGCGTGTGCGTGTGCGTGTGCGTGTGCGTGTGCGTGTGCGTGTGCGTGTGCGTGTGCGTGTGCGTGTGCGTGTGCGTGTGCGTGTGCGTGTGCGTGTGCGTGTGCGGGTGCGTGGGTGCGTGGGTGCGTGGGTGCGTGGGTGCGTGGGTGCGTGGGTGCGTGCGTGTGTTGTGTCTGTGTTGTGTCTGTGTTGTGTCTGTGTGTGTGTCTGTGTGTGTGTGTCTGTGTGTGTGTGTCTGTGTGTGTGTGTGTCTGTGTGTGTGTCTGTGTGTGTGTCTGTGTGTGTGTCTGTCTGTGTGTCTCTGTGTGTCCCTGTGTGTCTCTGTGTGTCTCTGTGTGTCGCTGTGTGTCTCTGTGTGTCTCTGTGTGTCTATGTGTGTCTCTGTGTGTCTCTGTGTGTCTCTGTGTGTCTCTGTGTGTCTCTGTGTGTCTCTGTGTGTCTCTGTGTGTCTCTGTGTGTCTCTGTGTGTCTCTGTGTGTGTCTGTGTGTGTCTGTGTGTGTCTGTGTGTGTCTGTTTGTGTCTGTGTGTGTCTGAGTGTGTGTCTGTGTGTCTCTCTGTGTCTCTCTGTGTCTCTCTGTGTCTCTCTGTGTCTCTCTGTGTCTCTCTGTGTCTGTGTCTCTCTGTGTCTCTCTCTGTGTCTCTCTCTGTGTCTCTCTCTGTGTCTCTCTCTGTGTCTCTCTGTGTCTCTCTGTGTGTCTCTCTCTGTGTCTCTCTCTGTGTCTCTCTCTGTGTCTCTCTCTGTGTGTCTCTCTGTGTGTCTCTCTGTGTGTCTCTCTGTGTGTCTCTCTGTGTGTCTCTCTGTGTGTCTCTCTGTGTGTCTCTCTGTGTGTCTCTCCGTGTGTCTCTCTGTGTCTCTCTGTGTGTCTCTCTGTGTGTCTCTCTGTTCTTTTTTGTCTTTTTCTGTGTGTCTCTCTGTGTCTGTGTGCGTGAATGGGTTCGTGTGTGTGAGCGCGCTCTCTGTGTGCTGCGTGCTGTGTGCTGCGTGCTGTGTGCTGCGTGCTGCGTGCTGCGCGCTGCGCGCTGCGGGCTGCGTGCTGCGTGCTGCGTGCTGCGTGCTGCGTGCTGCGTGCTGCGTGCTGCGAGCTGTGTGCTGCGTGCTGCGTGCTGTGTGCTGCGTGCTGCGTGCTGCGTGCTGCGTGCTGCGTGCTGCGTGCTGCGTGCTGCGTGCTGCGTGCTGCGTGCTGCGTCTGCGTCTGCGTCTGCGTGTGCGTGTGCGCGTGCGTGTGCGTGTGGGTGTGTGTGTGTGTGGGCGTGTGCGCGTGCGCGCGGAGGCGCGGGCGCGTGTGCGTGTGCGTGTGAGCGTGTGCGTGTGCGTGTGCGTGTGCCTGTGCCTGTGCGTGTGCGTGTGTGTGGGAGTGGGAGTGTGAGTGTGAGTGTGATTGTGATTGTGTGTGCGTCTGTTTGCGTATTTCTGTGTTTGTGCTTGTGTTTGCGTTTGTGTTTCGTGCTTCTTGTTTGGGTTTGTGCTTGAGTGTGTGAGAATGCGGAATTGTTGTGACAATGCTTCGGTTCGACTAAGGAAGGTGTGACCAAAGCATTCCACCTCAGTGGCAACAAGAAGGCAATCATCACTACACTCAAGGCGCTCAAAAAACATCACGTGAATCATGCTGGCACATGTAAACATGTGAGGAGCGGACGAAACACTTTACTTGGCCCTAGTACTTTTTTGAACGTTATTGTTTTTGGGGGAGACCTTATCGTTTTACAGTGTTTTCGAACTTTGGCAGATGTCTAGTAGTACAAGTCTAGTACGAGAAGTACACTTCCGCATCTCCAGCTCGAAAATCGCAACTTTGTCGTGCAAGTCTAGTACGCGAAGTACACTTCCGCAGCTCCAGCTCGAAAATCGCAACTTTTCAGTACAAGTGTCGTATTTACGAAGCACACCTTGGCAGCTCCAGCTCGAAAGTGGCGACTTGCCTTCTCGTTTTACGGTGGCCACGCAAGGGTCCCACCCTAGCTAAGTTGCAACTGCAGGGGTTATTATAGAGCCGTGTGTTAGCTAAGGGTTATCGTTTTTGGGGGAGACCTTATCGTTTTCCATGATTTTGGCATGTGTTATGCAAAAACGTACCCCGCCTTGCTAAAGTGGTCTTCGCGTGTTTTGTCCGTGGCTCATGTGCAACCGAAACCCTTGCCCAGTGGCAAACAGGGGGGACAAATAAACATAAACCAAGAATACCCGTCCCCTGTTGGTTTCCCTTCGGGTAAACCAGCAACAAGAGTCACTTCGCACGAAACAGCGGCATACCCGAGCACGCCTCGGATGGGCACTTTACCACCGGACGGGCGAAGCCAGGCTGGGGTACTGCCGCCTGACTCGGGGGTGGGGATACCTCTGCCTGAAGGGCACCCGTTTCCCTCGCTGCTTTTGTCAAGGGAGCCGACCAAAGCTTTTCAAAGCCCGTTTCTCACAGGTTGAGGCACCTGCCGTCTTTACTTTGGGGTGTCAAGCAACTGGTTTGCATTCTGGGGCTTGGAGATACCCTTTTTCTAACAATCACGGAAGGGGACAAGTGGGCTCTCTCACCGGACGGTAGTCTTCCAAAGCCACTCTGTCCGTTTCCAGAATTGCTGGAGAGAGGGTGCCTGTTTCCTTTCTGGTTAATTATGGGGGCTGGATGGCAGCAGTTTCCCTTTCCGGAATCTTCAAAAACAAAGGTTGGGTACATCCAATTCATCCTAATTTCTATTGAACCACAAAGCAGAACCCTTTCGTTTCAACCGCCGCCCTTTTCGACAGTTGAGGTTCCCTTACGTCCATCAACTCGAAGAGTTGCTGCCTTCCTCGCGGGTAACAAGTGGGCGCTCAAGGTTGGGCCCCGAACTGCGTCTTGGCTTCTCTTAGCCAACCCAAGGGCGCCGGCAAAGAAAGACACACAGGCCAGCTGGAGCCTGCGCCGTCTCCGAATCCCATGCTTCAGCCACATGGAAGGAAGTCAGCTGCGTGCTCAAGACATGGAGTCTGGATTGAACACATACTGCATCATACTACATCCCTTTTTGGTTTCCAAAAAAAGAAAACATATGGGGTGTCTTTGTTTTGAAGGGGACCCACCACACGGCGGCTTTCCTTTTGGCTTTCCACAAAGCCACCAAACAAAGGGTACCCTCAACAAAACAGAAGGGCCAGCCATGGGGCCTCCGTTTCTTGAAACACGCCAGGGTATAAAAACGGCCGGTTTCAAAATGCAGGCCCCACAGCGAGCCCCTATTCGCCCCTTGGCCCAAACCCAAGCGGGCAGGAAAAGCTGCCTCCCGGCACTGCAGGCTGCAACTCGAAGCCGTTCTGCGCCCGGAGCAGTTGGAGATGTCCTCAGGACTCAAATGGGACACCCCCAATCAAAATCAGCAAATCAGCAGTGCCCAAACCCAGCGACTTGTGGTACCAACATGGCTACAAAGGCTTGTACACGCCATATAACCACCGTTGTGGGATTTACAAACGTGTGATGCACATATCTGCCAACCGGCGATCATGCTGCCAATTTCAAACTACAGGCATAACCTCGTGCTACGGTTGTCACACTGCGCGTGGCTGGTCCCCGAATTCACCACACTTGCCAACACTGTCCCTAGACATCCACAGTAAGTTTGCAAGCGACCGCCAGCAGTTGGTTCATTTGGGAAAGCTTCACCTCATATTGCTTGCACGGTGCATAGTACTCCGCTGGGGGAAGCTGACAGCTATAGTCCGCCACCAACCTGGGAGCATCAGCATGCATCAGCAAAAGTCAAGGCTTAACGACCCCCAAACAAACAGAGGGTGACACACAAAGTGCGACACACAGAGCGTGGGTTGCTGTCCCGTTCGGTTAATTACTCTAGACAGTGTCCAAAAGCATCCACGTCCAATTTTGGGAGACCCCAAAATGGGCAAAGCCTTTTTGATTCCATAGGCATGTTTCAGTCCGCCAGCGAAATTATCGCCTTCCCCCCTGGTGCTTTGGATTTATTCGAATGAACCCCCGCAAAAAAACTGCCTTTGTGACGTGAAATCAAAGCAAAGAAGCACCCATCAAAATGGCTTTGCTTCAAAAAAGCCGCTCTGGTGCAACAGCAGTGTGTGAGACTCCAGATCAGAAGGGGTGGGAGTTCGGGTCTCTGGCCTCATTTGCGCGCGCGGAGATCACTTTCGAGCGAGCCGCGACCTTCAGCGCCTAGCAGCTACTTTCACGCGTTTCTGGCGTGCCCAGCTTCCTGGCCCTGAGAACCAAGATCAAAGGAATCGAATTCAAATAGCCGGGGCGAAGCGTCAATGCTTTGGATATCCGCCAAAATGGTTTGCCTTGGCTGCTTTCCAGATGCCAACAAGAATTAGTTTTGCTTGGGTGGTGCTTTCTGAAGACAATCCAAAAATGACAATTTGAAGTCAACACCGCAAAAACACAACAGAGTTCAAAAGTCCTCTTGCAGTCCCCTCCAGCCATCCCTCTAAACCAACCCATGTTTGCTTCACGGTGGAACTCCCCGTGACCTGGAAAGAACGAAAAACGTTTTCCGGCCGCGCTCCGAGCGGCTGCAGAGCTGCGTCGGTGACGAGGATGGCCTCCGTGTGCAGGCCTTGGATCTTGGCCTGAGGCGTCCGAACGCCGCGGCGGTTGGGAACCCGTGCTGAGTCCATGGGTCAAACATAGCTAGGTACCCATTTAAGTAACCTGGTAAATGGAAACATGGACTAAGCGATGTGGTCCCCTGGTGGTTTATTTTTTGACCCACACCCAATTGACTGCCTGGATCGGAACAGTCATGATGGGTAGGCTCATCCAGCCCGACTTGACGGTGTTGCTACAATCCGCCCAAAGCTCTGCCGGATGTCACAGAAGGCGTCTGGAAAAACAAACACTCGCTTCCTTTTGAGAAAAACATCCATGGGCTATATTGCTCCCAGTTTGATGCCTGCCACGGCACGCTGAGAGCAAAGAGCCCGCCATCCAGCGGCGGGCCGAAATGTAGGTCGTTGCCCTGCGAGATCAATGCACTCAAACAGGCGGGTACCCTTGAGGCAGGTTTGAGCCGATCCCCAGTGTGCACTTTCCCGATGACATTGCCATCTTTGGAATGATGTGCAAATCCAGGGACCATTTTTGGGATTGACTCCAACGAGAAGCCAAAAGGCAACCAACGTTTTGGACGGGTCCCTATTTTTTTAACATGCGCCTGCACCTGAAAACATGGTCAGTACAGCTAGGGATGGATCTGAGCCTATTCCAATTGAAGGCTGCTTGGGATGCGTCAAATTTGGTCGTTTGTGTTGATAATGAAAGCAACTGGTTTTCTGGCTGTGTTTTAAAGTGTCGCAAGCCAAAATCAGGGATCTCAATGAAGAAAACTGCGTGAGGGGGCCGCAAACCCTTTGAGGCCGGACCGGCTGTTCGTTCCACCCTAAGCCTTCCTTGCACCTCCTTTGGGAGAAAAATAGAGCCAGCCCCCCCACCCCCAACAGAAAGCAGAAAAGGCTACCCCGTCTCCATGCCCGGCCTAGATGGTCTGGGGATTAAGTAGTTCTCAACCTTGACCCTTACAAGGCTGCTAAATCAAACTTGTGCCCATCCCCATTCCCCCACCCCTCCCATCCGGCTCCACTATCTCCCTCTTTTCACAATCCCATGAATTAGTTGACCTTTAATGCAAAACCCCTTAACCTTGGCCTCATCTGGGGCCGAACATATCTTGTCTGATTCTGCTCCATACTTGGTCCACCCTGTAATATGTTTGGAGGAGCCCTCGACCCAGTTTAACCTTTTAACCCCATCTTCCCCGGTTGCCACCTGGCGCAGGCCCAAGCGCAGCGCGCGTGCGTCCAGCGCCAGCAGCGCGCCGCTGGGCAGCTGCGCCTGGAGGTCGCCCGGCAGCGCCTGGGATCTGGGCGCGGCTTGGGTTTTGGGGCGGGGGAGGGGGGGTGGTGGGTGGTAAGTGGGGGAGGGGGAGGGGATATTGGGGGAAGTGGGGGTTAAGTAGGGGGGTAAGTAGGGGTGGCAAGTGCGGGAGTATGATATATAGATGCACTCCCTGCCTGGACAGGATCATCTTCTGTTGGGAGCAGCATTCAGTCTAGGCACGCGCCCATTCGCTGAGCCAGCGGCTTTTGAATGATCTGACGGTCCTGGAACGTTTTGCGGACCCTCCCCTGGATTGAGAGTTGCCCTCTCCCTAAAACTCACGAAACTCGAGTAGCATGTTCATTCAATAGTCTGCCGAAACTTCGGCTTCCGCGATTCGAGGGCAGCGAGATGCACCATGACCCAAAATAGAGGGCGCTGAAAAATGAGTAGAAGCAAACTGGAACGAGTGTGCCATCTATTTTGAACCGAGCTCACCAAAAAGGATGCTTTTGTACCTTCAGTGTTACCTCAGCTTTAATCCCCAATGAAGTAAAACACTTGTGGTTCTGGTCCATAACCGCCACATGGGTATGGATCAAGATTCAACTGCCATAAATCAGACCGCAGGTTTTAGGTTTTAGTCCATTCTATGTACCAAGGCAACCCATTTCGGGGTGCCCCTATTTTCGACAACCACACCCATATATGGGTGTTTCTCAAAATAGGGGTCGCCTAGAATGGTTCATGTCACCTTCAAATGCCCAAAGGAGGTCCACCATTTTTGACAACCACACCGCACAACAAAACACCCCTGGTTGATCCCTCATGGATTCAAACACCGACCAAAGGTCCACCATTTTGAAAAAAACTCCCATGCGTAGGAGAAAAAACAACGCAACAGAAACAGGGATCCTTACATTGTACACCTGAACATTGCCTTGTAAATTGTGGTTTCCCCTTATTTGGGTGGAAAAAAACATTTTTCAAATGGGCAAATTGTATCCTCTAAGGAGCCCTGAAAAACAAAAGAGATTCGAGGTGACCTTAGGAATCGGGACAAAGGCGCGAGCAGCAGATCCAGCTGCGGCTCCTTCGCATTCAGAGAACCCACCGCCAAGCGGGAACCATCGCCATCCTGAGACAAGACGAAGCGACAAACAAAAGCGACACCTGGGCGTGGGTCAAAATTTTCAACCACAAGGGGACCACAGGCTTTGGTCCATGTTGCCACTTACCAGGGCAAGCCATTTTGGGTACCTATTTTTGACCCACAGCCACCTGGAGAACACGGGCCTTCACAAAATGGCTGTGGGTCAAAAATATGTACCCAAAATGGCTTGCCCTGGTAAATGGAAACATGGACTAAAACCTGCGGTCCCCTGGTGGTTTGATTTTGAGCCACAGCCAAATATGGATGCACAAAATCCTGCACTTGGGATGGAGAAAGCCCCATGAATACTGGGTTAAACCACCTGCCAACTGGTGCAGGATTCTGTCCGTGCACTCTTGTGGCGGCCTTCAAAAAAGGGTCTCAGATCTTACGTAGCCCCAGTTATGTCCCAACTTCTTTCGGAATCTAGCACAGAGTCTCTCCAGGTTCCCTGAAGTGCTGATCGGTTCTAGCCATGTTTGAACATGACGATGATCTGATGTTGGGGGCTCGCCACCAAAAGAACCTACGCGGGCCCTCTTTGCAGCACGGAACGCGTGAGGTCGTGGGTCAAATGAATTGAGTGCTTCGCTGAAGTAAACGAGCAAACAGACATGGTGCATTCCAATGATTTCTCCAGCATCCCGTCATATCCTTGCTACTTGGTTCGCCTGAAAATAGTTGATGTTCCAACAACAGCAGCGTGGCTTGAACAAGCTTCAACAGAAAGTTGGCCCCAGCCTTCATGTTTCAGTGGCTTGACCGGGTGTGCCATGGCCAAAGCCCCTTATGCCGGCCATATGCATGCTAGATATTTGGGGGTGATCAATATTCCTGGCCCCAAAATGACCATGGGTATGTGTTTCCCATTTAGTGGTTGTTTGTCAATGTTTTCTTTGTTGTTTCCCAGACGGTCATCCCATGCACAGGACCTTTCGATCAAGCACCACTTGGCATGATCTCAATTCCTAGGTCCGTGCCCTTGCTCAGCCGAAGTCCTCCCTCGCCCTCCCATTACTGCCGAAAGTTGGCTCCGTGGCTTACTATTCTCCACACCACCCAAACGTTGGGGTGAAGGAAACCACCCAACCCTTTGAGTTGAGCGTGATCAAACTCTCCTCTTGTTTACAACGAAATTATGGGAAACAAGCAGTCCAAGTTTGACTTTAGACTGCCACGAAAAGTCAAACCTGAATTTAATCACCAGCCGGTGTTGCCTAGATGGCCTTTTGAAGGAAAGCCGAGGCCCAACCTTGGCCCACATCTGACAGAAAATCATCTGGTCAGATGATGCTTCATGTTTGGTCTACATACTTTAAAGTATCACGTTGATCCGAGGCGCCACCAGCTGAAGCCCGAAGTCCCCGTTCACCAGCCGCTCCGCCCACGCCAGGCGCCGCAAGGGATCGGGAGTCAGCCCTGTCACTCCGCCTGCAAGCGGAGGCCTCGAAATCTCGGGCTCTGGGAAAATGATCTAAATGGGCGGCTTTCCGCAAGACATGTTTTGTTTTATTTGTTTTTAACCCATAGGTGTGTTTCTAGAATTTTCAGGGACTCTTGGGTTAAGGGAAGGCACAGGGAAACCATCCAAACAGTGGTGGCCCTACCTTAAAATGGGGATGCCCAAAATGGTGGCAATGGCGGTTTTCGCAAAACATTCAAGGGAAGCCCGGAACTGATAGAATTGTGTCTTTTCTCCTTGGTTTCCCGTTTAGACAATCCCAAATTGGGAACCTCAAATACGAAATGCTTCGGTCACAAAGGCCAACTTCAGCAATGGTCTGAGGTGGTTTCCGTAGTTTCTCACACGGTAAAAGCAGGGAATGACTTGTGCATGTCTTGCTGTTGGTTTCCTTTCGCTTTTCTGTTTGTACCCGTCGCGGACATTCCTTGTTTTACATGGTTTCCATCTGGTTGCCCTTGGGGTTGCCCATATTTTGTGGCCTCAATCCAACTACCGGTCAGTCTTTCCCAAGTCGGTTCACTTAGGAAACCGGACATGAATCCGAGGCCATAGGTGGGACACTTCTCCAGCTCGCTCGCGTTTCAGACATGCCGGAAGCCCCGGTGCTGGAGCAAAGCGCGCCGCCCGCTAAAAGCGCGCGCTTTAAGCGACGGCAGGTGGACAGGGCTCCAGTATTGGGTATAAATCCAGGCGTCTTTGACTGGAAAGCATGAAGCACAGCTGGGTTTGAGTCTCTTTAAAACGATTTTAATTCTCGTAAATACCCCAAACCCTGAGGCCAAAACCTGAGGCCGAGCCAACACTGGCAATAGGCGGGAACCACTTCCCCCTTTGCGCCTCCAAGAGATCTGCTGACCGCCCAGGAGACTTGGAAGGGCGACACGTAGAGCGAGCTGACCAGCAGTTCGCCTCGGACTCTGTCAAGCCGGAAATTGGACATTGGTTCCTTTTCTAGGGGTTGATTGCCCATTCTTTTCAAACATCGTTCTTTTCGAACACCAGCTGCTTCCCATAGCTTGTGGCTTCTAGAAAGAAGGTTCCTGGAAAGAATGGGGAATCTACCCTGAGACCTTTGGTGCAATCTGGAGCCCGTTTGCAACTCATTTGGGGTGCTCCGGAATCACGCACGTCTCCAGGAGGAGCCGGATGGATGCGGCTGTTGAGATGCTTCCCCCAACAATCAAAATGGGTATTGGGTTCCTTTACAGAATACAATGTGATAATGCAAAAAGGGGGCTCGTGTTTTCAAACCCCATTGAGGAGGTAATTCTAGCACATTCCAGCAGAAGTCCGTGCAACGGCGTCCATTGTCAGGCTGTTGGAACCTATCTTGCTCAAGCCTGCCTGTCCTGGATTTTCAGCGGAAGGATGAGGGTCAGGTTGATTCCCATCCAAATACCGACGCCCAAAAAGTCCAACTGGAAATACGTGCACTTCCGATTCAGCAGAACTGCTTCCACATTCCAGGTGTTTCCCTTCAAACTTCATAGTGCAGACTTGAGCCGCCTTGAGCAAATTCCTGCGGTCATCCCTCTTACGTTGTTCCATTATTGTTGTTTGTTGGTTTCAGGCTGAGTTACCCATCCGGTCCAATCCACTTTGAGGGTTGGAATTGGAATCTCTGTCCAATTCTGCAAACCATGCTGAGGCAAGGGAACCCAGAAGAACTCGCACTTTCCAAGCTTCGAGCTTGCAGAACCAAAGCGGAAGCGAAACGCGAATACGCCCAGCTACCAGGCAGTTTGCTGATGTTTATTAGTGCCCTTTCCGAAACCCGCGTGCGCTGCCCAAAAAAGAAGAAAAGAGTAGGATCTAGGAACAGAATGGGGAGATTCTAGCTAGATTCCCTGTGAACTGCTGAACACGACACCAGACTGGTTGATGTGTATGCGTTTGATTCGGACCACTTAGCTTGGCAACTGGATTCGCTGAACGCAAAGGCTCCATTCAAAGCTTCGTTGAAGGCTCCCAGTGGCCTGGACTAGTACTTCAAGTTGCAGACCATAAAGAGCGGCCGCGACGCTTCAAATGTGGAGGCATTGCACTGGAACACTGGCGAAGCACAGCGGAACGACTGGCGTACTTCATATCACGTGTGTGCAACTAACCACGAGTTGGTTGGACTTGGCTTCAAGCTTCATAGCGGGTGGTTGTTTTGGGGGATTGTTTGTGGAATCAGCCCATTTGCCTTTTGGAAACTTCAAGATTCCCATTGAGGGTGATTGACCATCTTCAAAGGGCCTGGTTTCGGCTGCAAAGACATGTTTTTGCAAAAACTCCCTGGCAAATCAAGAAGTGAGTCATGATCAAAGCGTGGTGTTTAAGCAGTTGGGTCTATCCCTTACCCTGTACCCGGGTTTTGATTGTGGGCTGTAGAATAAAGCGTCCAATGAGCCAGGTGTGCCCTCTGGTTGGTGGAATCTGACAAGCTGAATCGCTCAAAATCGAGGAACAAACAACCAAGCTGGTCGTCCATGGGTATGACAGTGCGACCTGAAAAGAGGACCCCGGGGCAAGCAACCATCATTCGCCATTTGCCCAAAGAGGACTTCATGCCTCGTCAACCAAACCATTCCTCGGCTTGCACCTCAAGCCACGGCCTATGTCCCCCAGGGACCAAAACCTTGGGCCTTAAAGCCGTGCAAACGTCCCCGTGCAAATTGGCGGGTCTCGCATCGTCAAACCCCGCGCGGGACTCGCAGCCGCGATGGCCCTCCCAAATCTGAAGGCGCGGGGCCCGCCGAGATGAAGAAGACCAGGTACCCGAAACCTGACGGCTTCGGAAGGGTGTTTTTCAAGGGAGCCGTGCTCCAAGTACACAAAGCGTTTGCCCTGCGCATGGTCATCCGAGGTGAAAGAACCCGTTGACCAACCTCATTTCAAGTTCGGATTAGGAGGAGCATAGCAAGAATCAGGGCTGGTTCGATGAAGGGAATCAGGCCATAGGGGGTATTTCACTGATTAATATGGTCCTC